ATGGCAGAATTCTCGGCACCCAACGAAGAGACCTCCTCAGTCGTAATGCACAACTTTTTCCCTTCGTCATCCAAATCTCCAGGGCCATCTTCCTGAACGACAGGCACCACATCCACCACTCGCTCTTCTGCAGCCGACACAATTCCGATCTCCACATTGGGCATTTTTTCTTCTGGACCCACCGATTCCACCGCTGCCACACCCTCAGAAAGCGCCTCCATCTCTTCCCGATCCAGATGTTGAGCTTCAGCGATGTCTGCTCGGTTTCCAGAAATCCCCTCTTCATCAGGAGAACCCGAGGTCGGGGCGTCACCACCAGCCCTAGGACCGCTATCCCTGATAGTAGAGGAAAAATCTTTTTCACCTACACTATTTACACCGCTGTTGACACTTTCCATGCTACCCTGCTGTGCCCTAGAAGACTCCGTAGGTGACGAGGACGAGGTAGCACCCAGCGCTGGCTCATCTTCCACAGGGACAATGCCCATTCCAACACCTGGCCCCTCGCTGTTTCCAGCCATTCCAGTCTTCTTAGGCACCACCCATTGGGTATCTCCAGTGTCTAAACAGTAAAGATATTCTCTCCCATCATCATGAAAATGGCGTTCCCATGTCTTCCCATCGCAGTCGATGATTGGAAGGTCAGCAGCTTGAGACACTTTGCCTCCACCATCAGCGTATAAGTCTTCATCTGACTCTTGCTGTATTCTTGCTGCCTCCAATTCCAGGATTTCTCCTTCGCTCATCACCATAGCAACAGGAACGACTCCTTCTGCGTCCCCAACGACGAGGATACTGCTTTTTGTCGCAGCAACAGGCGCAGTTTCTTCCGCTTCACCTGTCAACAGATCACCACTTTCAGCCGCGAAACTCACTTTGTTGCGAGCTCGCTTGGAAACAGGGATAACATCCCCAACCAGTTCTGTCTGGCACCCTTGCTCCACCATCTTTGACGTAGAGGAGCTTGTTGTTGGCGCTCCCGTTGATTCAGCAGATTCCGCAGCTCGAAGAAGATGCCCATGTTTGCTCAGAAGGCGCAGCAAAACTGCTTCCATCTGGTCTTCCAGTCCTTCCACCACCGGCTTCTCTTCGCCACGCATACCACCAACATCAACCAGAGCTTCCACATTGGGAACAACTTTTTCACCCGTTGCAGACCTTTTGACACCACCTTCACCTTGGTCGCCCACATTGGAGCTCGATGATGCCGCACCAGTCCGTAACCAGTTGGTCGCCATGGCTTCAAACTTCCACCCTAAAGCCGAAACACAAACCGCAGGGAACCTAATTTGGGCTCATAACCTACGGGGGCAACCGAAAGGGAACAGGGAAAGAAACCAACCCTCAACAGTCGCCTATATAGATTTCCCAGATCGAACCAGAAACAAGAACACCCAACCCTAAGGGGACAAGATAAGGGAGAAGGGACGGGACTACTCCAACCCGTTAAACCCAACCCCAAGCGTACGTACTTTTTCAACAAAAGCTGACGGCTCTCGGCCATCTTGAGCCAAACATGTTTTCCGGGTTCATTAACCCTTCCAACTCTCAACACTAACTCTTTTCTACAATACCAGTTGCAGCTCCGCATAGGGTTTACTGTCTGGGGTATAGGGTGTAGGGTTTTGTGTGTAGAGGGTTTCGGGGCTAGGGTATGGGTTTGAGGGTTCCGAGGGTGCCTAGGGCTCATAGGGGAAAAAAGGACTTTTAGGGATTCTGGGGTTTATAGGTTTCAGGGCTTGGGGTTTAGGGTTTATAGGGTTTATAGGCTCTTTGGGGTGCTGGCAGGAAATTGGGTTTACAGGGTTTGGAGGGCTCCTTTCTAACCCCCCCGGGTTTAGGGTTTAGGGTTTGGGGTTTGGGGTTTGGGGTTTGGGGCTTGGGGCTTGGGGCTTAGGGTTTGGGGTAGGATATAGGTCGATGCAGCTTGGAGCTGCTAAGGGACCCAACCTCCGAGGCCCCCCCCATCGACGTGAGAAGACAAGAGGTGCGAGGCATCGCCCCACGAGAAAAAAAAAACAACTGAGGACCCCAAAATCCATCCCGAAAGTAGCAACCCTAAACCCTGAGCCCTAAACCCTAGACCCTAAACCCTGCCTCCCTAAACCCTAAACCGACTCCCTCAGTTGAGTCCCCGGACCTTCGCCAGGCACTGCCCACTCGGGGCCTCGCTTCTGGTTTTGGGGGGGTTTAAGTCAAGGTTTTGGCGTTAGCGTTTAGGGTTTAGGGTTTCGGGTTTAGGGTTTAGGGTTTAGAGTTTAGGGGTCAGCGGTGATTGTAAGGGTTTGGAAGTGTCATGGAGCACCCATGAACAACTGTCCCAGCGGCCAACAAGGGCCCCATTGCCAAAGTGAAAGCCCAGTCCACTTCAGATCGAAAATATCCTGAAGCCCAAATCCCTGAACTTCAACCCAAAACCTCCTCTAAACTTGCCATTGAGTCCAAAACCCCTGCTGTAACACTAATCCCTAAACCCTAGTAAAACCTATACCCAAAACCCTGACATCTTTCCCTCCTACGGCAGAGCCCAGACCCATGGGCCGCGGGCAGCTCGAGGTGTCACTGCTTGACTTGCAGGCCAAGTGGGCCAGGGCCTCCGCGAGCTGTTGCATTCGAACTCGCTTGGGGGGTGGGCTTTCGCGGCAGCGACTGGGGGGCTGAAAGACAATTGAACCCACAAGCCTTTCCACCCAAGACCCAGGTGCGGTTAGGGTTTAGGGTTCAGGGTTCAGGGTTCAGGGTTCAGGGTTCAGGGTTTAGGGTTTAGGGTTTAGGGTTTAGGGTTTAGGGTTTAGGTTTTAGGGTTTAGGGTTTAGGCTTTAGGGTTTAGGGATCCTCAACGACCAGCCCCTGTTGAGCAGGCGGCCGTCAGCACGATCGGAGTGGCCAGCAAGGCCTTGTCATTGGAGGGTGCTTTTGGGCTTTCGTTTGGCTGAAGATGTGGGGCTGGGTCCGTTGGAGGCATGAAGGTTCCTACCTGTATTCATTAATATTGTATTTTGCTTTAATAGTTGCATTATTCTGGTATTGCCACACGGTTACCCAGTCTGATTCGAGCTAACAAGAGAGCGGTATCACAGTATTATCCCTATACATGTTCTACCCTTAAGGGGTTTAGACTGTAGCTCATATTGTTTCGATTCTTGTCGACTTGCTGCCAGAGAACCATTGCTACTGTTACTAGCGTACTTCCTATTTATCTTAGTATGACTCATACTGTTGTGCTTATTCAATATTATTTTTACTACTACTGTTCTTCTTAGTACTATGAATATTTACTACTATGATTAGTGCCGTTACATCAATGCAGGCTGGAAGCCCAATCTGTAGAAATTACCATTTCAGGAATGCCCACACCTGATCTTCTTCTTATAGGGTTCTCTCTAGGGGAGGGGGGTTCAGGGGTGGTACGCAACCCAAGGTTGCCTCCCCACTACTCCCTAAGGCTCCTAAGCTTCCCTAAGGTTCCCTAGGTACCTAGGGTTTAGGGTTTAGGGTTTCGGGTTTAGGGTTTAGGGTTTAGGGTTTAGGGTTTAGGGGTTTAGGGTTTAGGGTTTAGGGTTTAGGGTTTAGGGTTTAGGGTTTAGGGTCGGCAAAGGCAACGACTGAGCACTAGGCCACAGCCATCGGACGCCGCGACTCATCGAATTCATTTACAGTGGCTGCGAGGAACACAGCCGAGCCGTACCTTGGGATTTTGGGGATCTTTTAGGGTTTGGGGTTTCCTTGGATTTCATTAAACACACTCAGACAACATACCACCTCCAAGAGACTACAGTTATTAGGCTGCAGCCACGCGAACCCCGAAACCTTCCAAAGCCCTCTCCAAACAGCGACGCTCTGAAGGGCCTTGGCACCGTCACCCCTAAACCTCGAAATGCTAAGCCCTAGGACCCTACAAGCCCTGAACCAAACACTAAACTAAGACCCAAACCTCTAAACTAAAACCCTCTACCCCTACACCCTAAACCCCAACATGCTACTTCAACCCTAACCTCCTCACAGCCCCTTTCAACCCCTAGTACCCCCCTTTAACACCCTGAAAAACACCCCTGTAGACCTAAACACCCCTATAAGCCAAACCCCCTAAAACCCCTCTAAGCCCAGACCCTAAAACCTAAACTCTAAATCCCCTAAACCCTAGAAACCCTAGAAACCCTAAACACCCTAAACACCCTAAACACCCTAAAAACCCTAAAAACCCTAAAAACCCTAAAAACCCTAAAAACCCTAAAAACCCTAAAAACCCTAAAAACCCTAAAAACCCTAAAAACCCTAAAAACCCTAAACCCCAACCCGAAACCCTAGGCCCTAAACCCTAAACCCTAAACCCTAAAACCCCTGAACCCCTGACTGGGCCCCTCAAGGCCCCTGGCAGTGCCACTGCTGAGGTGCCACTCAAGCCCAGCAGGGCCACGGCTGCTGTGGACCAGGACCTTGCGGAATTTCGGGGGGATTTAGGGTTTAGGATTTTGGGCTTCAGGGGTTTTCGCAGTTTGGGGGGATTGAGGGGTGTAGCGAGTTGTTAGCAGGGTGCAGCTTGAGGGTTCGATGAGGAACCAGGGTCGGAGGGTTTAGGGTCTAGGGGCTTTAAGGGGGTGTTTAGGGGTTTGCAGGGGCTTTTTGGGGTTGATAGGGTCTGGGCATTCAAGGCCTTTTGGGGGTTGCACGCCCCTGGTTTGAATCCGAGGCCGGAGCTCATCTTTCTGAGGCAGGAAGGGCGCCCGCAGCCCGATCTTGCACACGAGCACGCCCACCTGGCGTGTGTTGGGCTGTATAGGCTTCAGGCATGAACATTGTCGAGGCTAGGAGCTCCCCGGTTTGAGGTCTTGATGGCTTCTAGCATAGTTGAGGTTGGCTGCAAATCTGGGTGCTCCGGCTTGCGTGGTCTATTTGCACAAAACGTGTGACCTACTGTGCAAGTGATTGCATTACACTGATCCGCCCACAAAGTAAAACAGTGCAGCGATACACATTTGCACCACGCCCGATCGCATCGGCTAGCTTGAGGTGGACACCGTATGGAGGTGGGAGTTGCGGCACCAGTTTTTGTAGGCTTCGCGGTCTTCTGCCGACAAGTCCTCCTCCACGAAGAAGATGTCAAAAAAACGAGCTTGCATCTGCTCAAGCAATTTTTTCGAGATCCTGAAATAACCACCGTCTCCGAAATCATCTCCCCAGCTGTTTTTAGCCTTCCACATGCTTGGGTCCTGGCCAATAAGTACGCAACCATGACCAGACAGAACGTCTTTGCTGGGGTCTGGCAGTTCACCCAGGACCTCCGATGGAAACCTCCGAAAAAATTCAGAAAAACTGTGCCATTGCTTGTCAGAGAGGTGGAAGCCGCATAGCACAGCCCTTCCAAGTTGCAAACACCTCGCAGCATCGTCTGCTCTCACTTCGCGCCAGCGCAAACGTCTGGGTGGGCAGACTTGATTCAGAACAGGCTCCACGCAACCTCCTTTGGTGCCATGCTTCTTGACAATGGCATCAGCAATCACATGATGTGGTTCTACGTTACGGCCTACAATCCGACGCTCAGCATGACGAACCAGGGTTGCGACTGCCTGTGCATAACATGTTCCACGATGTGCATGGTCCAGAATGTCAGCAAAGTCCTGCTGATCATGAACTGCCGATGAAACCTGTACAAGCTCGAAAGAAAATGTCGTACTACCCACGTGGGCAATTGGTGCCGGCAGTCCGATATCAATCACCGCATCCGGCTTCTTCATGTGCTGGCAAATGTGGTTGCATGTGTGCGTGCGGAAGAACGCATTGATACCCCGAGGACCTAGGTCTGTTAACCCGTAGAGTTGTGTGCCAGCAGCGTCATGTATTGCAGGATCAGTGAATTGCCAGTCACCTTCTTTCATAACACCCTGCAAGTCGCATACCAAGAGTGCGCCCTCCGTCACTGTCCATGTCCAGTGGGAGAAGGCCTGTGCTGTGCGGTGAAAGGACAATTCACCTAAGCTCGGATCCACAAACTGGCCAACATATCCATTGTTGCAGTTTGCTTTCACAAACTTCCCTTCGAAATGTGGTTCCACGCAAACCTTCTCTGCCTTCTGGACAGATGCATCTGCTATCTTCTCCAGCCGAGGCCAGAAAAAACCCGATTGCTCGTACTCTGCTCCTGGCTGATAAACTTGATACAGGAAGGCGCCTGCGAATTGGATTTTGACAGGTGGTCTGACATCCTTGTTGAACTTTCTGGCCAGATCCTGGGCTTTGTTGAGGACCGTCAGATCCTTGTCCCACTCCTTTGCATACTGCGCGTGACTTCGCCTGAACTGCTTGACAATGCAGGGGAAATATGGCCTGTCAGCATCTCGACGCATAGTCCAACAATTCAAGAATCGAGCCCTGTTCAAAGTGCTAGACGGTTCCTCTTTGCAAAAAACTTTGCCCTTGTAAGCAAGCCGAAATTTGCCACCGTCGAAGGGCTTGGGGTCAAACTCAACTTTCTTCAAACCATGATCTTGCGCATTGACTTCCTGCTCGCCAAACAAATATTTGAAAGGAACTCCTTGTGATGGCTCCTTTCTAACCACGATACGGTTGCCCATGGCTTGTACGGGAAGAGATGGCGCGAATGCGGCACAACCTTGTTACAAGACTAGAGATCTGAACTCACAGAAGCAGCAACGTTTTGACCAAACTTTGACAGAACTGTTAGGAAGTGCTAGCTAGACTTGAAGACATGCTTTTGAGCAGGATACTGATGGGATGCGACGCGCACAAAGCGTAGGCCATGTGCAAACACCTTCTTTCCGGGGTACTGATGTTCAGCAAATCCTCGTTTTCTCTTGTCTACTTCTTCTTGTTCTGCTTTCCTTCCACCTTGCCTGATTGCGAGCATTGCGTTCAGACGCCAAACGTCCGGGCTTTCCACAGATGTAACATCTCCGCATCCCCTTCGTTCCAACTTGCACTACTCATGTGACCTTACCTTCGTTTCATTCTCCTTCTCCTTTCCCATTTGCTTTGTGCTGAATGCGTCTTCCACCTCTCACTCGATTCACATCCATCGGAATTGGACCTTGATAGGTGCTTGACCGAACCATTGCTGCTTGACACTGCACGAGAACTCAAGATGTCTCACCCTCTTGCTAAGCAGAATTACTGCCATGATGGCACGTCAGTAGTTAACCTTTTCTATTCGGATGCGGTCGTAAGACTCCCATCTGAGATGATTCTTGGACTCTGGCAAAACTGCAAAGGGGCCGTCTGAGGGCTCTGCCCCTGAGGCGGTTAGAAGGCCGCCCAGCATGGGCGCCAGGCACGCCAGCATCTGAGCTCGGTAAACAGAGCAAGGCTCCAGAGAGAGGGTTTATGGTTCAGGGTTTAGGGTTTAGGGTTTAGGGTTTAGGGGTTCAGGGCTTAGGGATGCGCAATCTGCAATGTCAGGTCTGTCGTAAGCTAAGCTTTATGGCTATTTCGCCAAACAAGGGGCCCTTTTGCAGACCCCCAAAAATAGCATACTCCTTAAGATAGGAACCCCCCCAAATTGGTACCCTAATTTTGGGAACCCACGTATTCTGCGAGTGGTAGCTCGGGCCAGAGCGGGGCGTCTCCACGTCGTGAAGACCAGGACTCCGAACCTCGCGGCCAGGTAAAGCTGAGAAACTTCGGGTTCGGGACTCGGGATACATGCTTTTTTCAGGATGATCGGTGCGACTGCTATTACACAACGTGTTCGTTTACGTGTTTGTGTACTGCTCAAGACGATTGCAAAATCAATATTACAGTATCGCTACACAGCTCCGTCCGCAAGTCTGGCCCCGGCTTCTCATGCCTTCCAGTCCTCGCAGCGCTATGAGTAGCTGAAGACACACCCCCGGACCTCACTTCAGAACTAAGTCTTAACTCCTACACCCAAAACCCTAAACACCCCCTAAACCCCAAACCCTACACCCTAAACCCCAAACCCTGAAACTTAAACACTAAACCCTAAACCCTAAACCCTAAACCCTAAACCCTAAACCCTAAACCCTAAACCCTAAACCCTAAACCCTAAAGGTTAGGGTTGGGGGGGTTTAGGTTTAGTATCTTGGCATCGCAAGCGCTTGGGGGAGACTCGGCTCCAGGCATTGCACCCAGGATGTACCTGTTGGGACGCGTTCGGCTCGATCCCCTTGAGGGTTTTGGGTTTTAGGGTTTGAGGGCTTAGGGTTTAGGATTTAGGGTTTGGGTTTAGGGTTTAGGGCTGAGGCGGCCTAGGGTTTCGGCTCTAGGGTTTAGGGCTTCGGCTCGGGTGGTTTTAGGCCAAGGGCACCAGCAGATGGAGGTCCCAGGGAGCTGCTCGTCCAGGGGACGTGTCCAAGCCTGCTGCAATCTGCTCGGAAAGCGCATTGGCTGTCTGTTGGGATGTTCCCCTTTATACTAACAGCCCTTAACAGGATTATCATAGGGAGGTACTCTAGTCCCTATTAAGGACTGTTAGTATAAGGGAGAATATCCAAACTGTCTGGGTTGAGCAAAAGGGTTTGGGCTTTCGGGCTTGGAACTTAAGACTTACGATCTAGGGTTAGGTTTAGAATGTGGATCGGATCACCCCATGACGGATGGGGATTTCTGAGCAGAGGAGTCTTTGGGGCGCCTAGTACATCTCGCGACCTTGCTTTGAACCCTGAAGCAGGCACCTAGCTGCCAAGAACTTTGCAAATAGGCAGCAGAGCATGAAGCCTTGACTTAACATCCAGGTAGCAACACCCAACACCGAAAGGCAGAAAGCGGCCTCAAACCCCTGAGCCTAGCCCTTGCACCTTAAAACTTTGGGACCCAAAACCATGAAGCCCTAAACCCAACGACTTGGACATCGAACCCTGAACCCTCAACCCTGAATCCTGAACCTCTAACCCTTAAACCCCTCATCCCTAAACCCTAAACCCTAAACCCTGAATCCTGAACCTCTAACTAAACCCCTAACTCCCTAAACCTGAACCCCCCAAGTCGAAGAGTCTCACAGGAAAGAGCACGCTGGGCTTCACACCCCCGTGCCATAGGCCGCGGCGAAGCCGCTGCAGGCCCCTAGCCTCGCACCGAAGAAGGCCGGCTCAGGCTTTTTGTTGTTGCTTCTTTTTTTTTTTTTTTTTTTTTTTTGGGGGGGGGGGGGGGGTAATGGAAGGCATTAGTGGGGTTTTAAGAGGGTTTCTTTGGGCTTAATAGGGTTCTGTATGGGGTTTTATAAGGTCTTAAGGCTTAGGTTGTTTAGGGGGTGCAGGGTCTAGGTTTTCAGGGGTGGGTATTTGGGGGAGTTGTGTTTCCCTGTGTTTTTGGTGTCGGGCTTAGTGTTCAGGGTATCGGAGGCCTTAGGCTTGAGGCTTTAGGCGCCGGTTTAAAGGGGAACTGGTGGGGCGGGGGCGGGGGGGGTTTGGTTCACCGCCTAATTGTACCAAAGCCTACCCTTCAATCCCCGAAAGCCGCCGACCGCCCAAAATCGTGAAATACCCAATCCAAAAACAAAACATAAACCCTCGACCTCCCCCCCCCCCCCCCCACGCAAAAAAAATGCCCTTCAACCCCCACCCACAATCTCCCCCTCAAACCCCTAAACCCTCCCCCCTCGCTTGCCGTACTCACAGGCCAAAAAAGCCTAAACCCTAAACCCTACACCCTAAACATCCCTAAACCCTAAACCCTAAACCCTAAACCCTAAACCCTAAACCCTAAGCCCTAAACCCTGAGAGCCCACCATTTTTCCAGGAGCCACACAGGACCTGGCTCCCCTCGAAGCCCCAGAAGGTGGCTAAGCCAAGGGTGCCGGCCGCCTGCTCTGGGAGGTTTTGGGGCAGTTTGGGGGGGCTTTGGGGGAAGTTTGGGAGGGTTTTGGGGCAGTTTGGGGGGGTTTGGGGGAAGTTTGGGAGGGTTTTGGGGCAGTTTGAGGGTTTTGGGGAAGCTTGGGGAGGGCTTTTGCGGAAGTTTGGGGGAGCTTTTGGGGAAGTTTGGGGGAGCTTTGGAGCTTTGGGGCTTTGGAGCTTTGGGTCTTTGGGGCTTTGGGGCTTTGGGGCTTTGGGGCTTTAAGGCTTTAAGGCTTTAAGGCTTTAAGGCTTTAATTTGGGGTGTTGGGCTTTCGGGGTTCTTGGTTCTTTGTTTGGAGTGTGGCCAGCAACCTCATGGTTGCAAACCGCGTGGCAAACCTCTACTTTCTTTTCGCTGCCGCAGGGCATTGCCCCTTCTTGCTGCGACTGAGACACCGGCAGTGGTTTCAGCTTCACTCGAACCCCACAACTTCCATGCACTGCTGACTGCTGCGCGTGCGCGACTTCCATCACCCAGGCTCGACCACCAGATTTCTAGATATCGCAGCCCACCGTACGAAGCAAGAACACTGCCTCTTCTATCTTCGCCTGGAGCTGGATGTCTGACTCCAGGAGAAACAGCAGCTCACAGTTGCCCATCTCAAGCAGCATCCCTGTGATCTTACCCGCCCAGCCTGGCTGTATTTTGGCTATTTGCGGGAAGAGGGCGTTGCCGATCAACTGCTTTTGGACAGGAGGAAAGGCTGCCGGCAGTACGGCAGCAAGTCCAGAGGACTTGTTGCAGCGCGCAAGCTCGAGGGGGGCGCTTGTTGGCGACACGTACATGCCGATAGCCTTCTCGCCAGCCAAGACCTGTCCGTTGCATGCCAGGTAGTGGTCTGCATCGCGAAGATCAAGTTGGGATGTCAGCATGGCCTTCGCCTCGTCAACCGTGGTCCATGGCCGAGCCCAGATGGAGCACTCACGTCCAGTACGCATAGAGGCACGTACCTGCAGCTGGCCTTGCATGGCACAGTCACATACTTTCGCAAGATCGGATGTCCTTGTAGCATCACCCGAATCCTGCAAAGCTCTCTGAACTTCTTCAAGAACCCGTCGCTCAAGCCCTGCCGAAGCCAGGTGATGCAGCAACATGCTGCTCAAAGCAGGCAGTTCAGCCTGGTCTGCCATTGAGAACAAGGCAGGCTCCCAACTACCTCTGACAGCTCCACGCAGGGTGAGGCTGCAAGCCGAATTGCTCTGGATGAGATTTGGCGCAACAGCCCGGTTGGCGAGAAGGCGCCACCTTCGTAGCTGGTACAACCCTTCAATGCTTCAGTACCTGCAACAGCCTTCAGAAGGAACCACTGCTAGAACCCTTCCCTCAGAAGATTGTTCAGAAGCTTTTCGTGAAAATAGGTGCCCTGCCCTATCTTGGGAAATACACCCAGTGCGTCCCCCAAACCCTAAACTAAACCCTTGACCCCTGAGAAGCCTGGGCCATGAGGATGGCAGTGGAGAAGATTCCCATCTCCTGGACGTTTGCCTGCCACAAAAGCGTCCAAGAAGAGGAGAAAGGAGAAGTTGGGCTCATGGATTGTGGGCCCTAAACCCTAAATCCTAAACCCGAAACCCTAAACCCTAAACCCGAAACCCTAAACCCGAAACCCGAAACTCAAGGATTCTTGAGGTTCAAAGGCCCGAACACCGCAAGCACTCCAGAAGCCCGAAACCCCAACTTCAAACAACGGCGGCCTCATAGCAGGCAGCTCCTGCCGCAAGGGCAGACCTCAGCTACTCTTGGGGCCTTTCAATGATTAGAATAGGGGTTTATTCTAGTAAAATGTCCAAGGAACCATTAGTTTTTTTATTCCGACCCCTATAGTACTCGAGGGGCTGGGCCTCCAAGGTGGGAAAGCTTCAGGGACTTGAGGGTTTCGGGGATTGAGGGTTTCAAGGTTTATGGGCTTCAGGGCTTCAGGGAGTTTCAGGGCTTCAAGGCTTCAGGGCTCTAGGGCTTCAGGGCTTTGGGGTCTCGGGGTTGAGGGTCTCTGGCTAGACTCAATCCCAAAAACCCCCTAAATCCTGGCCATCGGCCAGCTGGCCAACCAAGAATGCGGCACGGCTGCCGTGAAGAGGAACTGCCACATCCGGGGGCCATCCTTATACGACTGCTGCGTGGGTTTAGGGTTTAGGGTTTAGGGTTTGGGGTTTAGGGTTTGGGGTTTAGGGTTTGGGGTTTAGGGTTTGGGGTTTAGGGTTTAGGTTTTAGGGTTTAGGGCTTAGGGCTTAGGGTTTAGGGTTTAGGGTTTAGGGCAAGCATCGGTTTTGAGGTCCGCCAAGGTTTGGGCTTGGGGAAACTTCATCTACAGGATCTTCGTGAGCACTAAACCCTAAACCCTACAAGCCCTCGCCGCTAGCTGCGCAATTCTGGGAGGGATTGCTGGGAATGAGAACAGGAGTTCAAGCCTGGCTTTAAGGCGTAGGTTTAGGGTTTAGGGTTGAGGGTTCCTCCCTCTCAGCGCCAGTCCCAGGTCAGGCAGAGACCCACCAGGAGGGCTGCGCCAGCCACGGTCCACTGGTAGGAGGTGCCCTTCAGCCTCAAAGGCTCGCGGATAATCCAGGACTCAAAAGGGCTGAGGCCCCTATACCGGTACTTAGTCGGGAATTTTGGAATTACCCTATATGCTCTCTGAAGGGACATATAGGGGGACGGAAGGCGCTGAAGTCTCCTACTAGACACCATTCTCATGTCGCCCCTGGCTTAGCAGTACCATTCTGGGACAGGCCCTGAAACCCTAGCCACCTGAACCCTCTAACCTTAAACGCTTTCTGGCACCCCCCTAAACCTCTAAACCAGGTTCAGGGTTTAGGGTTTAGGGTTTGGGGTTTAGGGTTTAGGGTTTAGGGTTTAGTCAAAACCCCTAAACCCTAAACCCTGAAAACCTGGGCGGAAGGCCAGTCGCTGAAGCTGTTGGCGTACACGAAGAGCGGCGAGTCACCAGAACCTCCAGCCCGCACATACAGAAAATTGGTCATCTGGGCCCCTGGAGTCTTTGGGTCTTCGGGTCTTGGGGTCTTAGGGTCTTAGGGTCTCAGGGTCTTCTCTTAGGGTCTCAGGGTCTTCTCTTAGGGTCTTAGGGTCTTAGGGTCGTAGGGTCCTGGGGTCTTAGGGTCTTAGCTCGTAGGGTGTAAGGCTCAGCTTGGCGCCTGTGAAGTTCGCAAGGCCATCACCTTGGCAAGGCCGGGGAGGTTTCGGGCTTCGGGTTTAGGGTTTAGGGTTTAGGGTTTTGGGTTTAGGGTTTAGGGTTTAGGGTTTAGGGTTTAGGGTTTAGGGTTTAGGGTTTAGGGTTTACGCCTTTAGGGTTTAACGGGAAGAGGCGCGACATACCAAGCGCATCCAATCTCACAATACCTCGAGGCACCCGAGCCCCATTGGGCTGCTGGCACGACTGATGCAGGCCGATGGCGATCATGTCGGGCGACTGGCAGGCAAAAGCCGGCAAAGTCAACAGGAGCCCTGAGACTCAGCTTCTTGTATCTTCCAAAGGAGAATACCTCCCCAAAACCAAAAGTTTTGAGCCATGGAGGCCTCAAATCTAGCACACTGCCGTAGACTGCACCTTGCTAGCAGAGTTCTTGGCGGCTTAATTTTGCGAAGCGATGAATACGGTGGGAAGAGCTTGAAGCTGGTGGGCCACGCAGCTGCTTGCTGCTTCCCCCCCCGAAAAGGAAAGAATAAAAGCACCAGCAGCTCAATCCGCGACGGGCTCACCCCAGCAAGGCCTGCCAAAGCAGGCAGGTGGAAGAGGGTCACCGCTTGTTTGCCCCCAAACACCCATTAGCTCGGGAAAAAACCCGTTGGAAACTCCATGTAGGCACTCCCCCTCGTATGCAAACGCTCCCCAAACTCCCCACATCCTCCCGAAAAAACAGCACAACAATCTCGGAAGGGAACTGAAGAAGCCAGGATCCCTCAACCCAAAACCCCAAACCCCAAACCCCAAACCCTAAACCCTAAACCTCAAACCCCAAACCCTAAACCTCAAACCCTAAACCCTAAACCCTAAACCTCAGACCCTAAACCCTAAGCCCTAAACCTCAAACCCCAAACCCTAAACCCCAAACCCTAAACCCCAAACCCTAACCCCTGCCGGCGACCTCGGCTGGGAGCCCCTGGCTCTGCCAGCGCGGCCTAGGCCCGGTTTAGGGTTTCGGGTTTAAGGTTTTGGGTTTAGGGTTTAGGGTTTAGGGTTTAGGGTTTAGAGCTTAGGGCTCAGGGTTCAGGGTTTAGGGTCTAGGGTTTAGGGTTTAGGGTTTAGGGTTTAGGGTTTAGGGTTTAGGGTTTAGGGTTTAGGGTTTAGGGTTTAGGGTTTAGGGTTTAGGGTTTAGGGTTTATGGGTTAGGGTTTAGGGTTTAGGGTTTAGGGTTTAGGGTTTAGGGTTTAGGGTTTAGGGTTTAGGGTTTAGGGTTTAGGGTTTAGGGTTTAGGGTTTAGGGTTTAGGGTTTAGGGTTTAGGGTTTAGGGTTTAGAGCTTAGGGCTCAGGGTTCAGGGTTTCGGGTTTAGGGTTGAGGGTTTAGGGTTTAGGGTTGAGGGTTCAGGGCTGCCCCGAAACCACTACTTGTGAGGGCAGGGTTTAGGGATGAGGGTTTTTGAGGAGCTCAGTGCTGACGGGTTGAAGGGTAAGAGGAGGGTCTGGGGGTTTAGCGTCGAGGGCCTCGGGCTTTGAAACAACACAGCGGGCGGGGGGGGTTTCGGGCTGCTTGAGGCAGAGCCTCGCTGAAAGCAGTCTTCGCGTGACGATTATTCATCCTCTTGCCTTCAAGCTTCTTGCATCCGGGATCTCGAAAACAACCTGGGCAGCTATAGCCTTTTATAGTACCCTGAATTTAACGCTCCGTATCTGAAAAAGGAAGCGCAAGAAATGTATTTCTTAAAAAAGACTTTCTCAACTTCAACTACCCATGAAGAGTCGGCCTTAGTAGAAGATGGTGTAGAAGATGCATCTGGGGCTTGAGGGTTCAGGGTTTTGAGGCTAGTGTTTGGGTCTCAGGGATGAGGGCTTGGGGTTGAAAGCTAGGGATTAAAGGGTTTGCCTTAAGAACTCCAGACATGCGAAACCCCCAAACTCCACCCAGCTCTGCCAAGCAACATCCAGAAGGAAGACCCAGGCGAGCCATGGGCCAGTGGCGCGCAGGCGCATCTTTGACCCGGGCTTGGGTGGGTGGTGAAAGGGCGGGAGGGCGGGCGTCTTCGGGTTAGGGTTGAGGCTGCGGGTTCAAAACTCATTTGGGGCTGCTTGATCAGGGTAGGAAGTCGGAGGGGAGGGAAGGTCGGCACATTTTTGGGAAGGCTGGTTCAGAGTATGGGAGGTTTGACCTTTGAACAGACGTCACATGGGCTGGCACGCGAGAATCTTGAGGGTTTAGGATGGACGGTCGCCAGCTGCAAAGCAACTCCCATGAAGACCCTATTAGAGTACAGTGCCTTGGTATGTAACGTGGTGACCCAAAAAGGAACCCATGCTTGAACTGCCCATGCGCATCTCCGTTGTCCTAGTTCATTGGAAGCTCTGAAGGCTCAACTACGGCTTGGAGCTCTGGGGCGTGAGCCTTCTGTTTTAAGGAGAAAGCGCAGGCAGTACGGGCCCCTGCGTCAAGCACAAGAGGATGACACACCGTGCAAGACCTTCGGCTTCAATTACCGATCTCAACATCAGGCACAACCCGCAGAGAGCTCAATGTTCCATCCCACTCGGCAGCAGCACGGTCACCAGCGAATGCATTCGAGGTGAAACGACCATGCGTGGGGTTTTTTGCCTCAGATCTTGGAATGGACCCAAGGTGGTCCAAGACCAAATGACAAGGGGTTTCCCCAAAATAAGGGTAGCGCTTTTCGGGGTTCCTGTACTAAGGATCATAATGCCTTAAGGGCATACTAAGGGGACAGAACCCACACACCCCTATGTTGGGGAAATACCGAAATCGACACTCTGTCTGTGATTCTATGGTTGTTGAGTCTCAAGCAAAAACACCCACAGAACTGCCTGGGCTTCCTATGACGCTTGTCGGACGTTTCTCAAGGGTTGAGAGTGCAGGGTTTAGGGAGTTTAAGGTGTAGAGTTTAGGGTTTCGGGGGTAGACTTCCCCCTTCACGGTCTCCAGCTTGGGAAACCTAAATGGAGGCTTCCCAAAACCTACTGATACCCATTTTCGTTCCTGGAATAAGGGCCGCTCGTAGTTTGGGGTGCGTAGCTCAGTAACCCCCTAAACCCTAAACCCTAAACCCTAAACCCTAAACCCTAAACCCTAAACCCTAAACCCTAAACTCCCAAGTATGAAGTCGAGAGCTCCTTTGCAAGCAAAGATGAGCGCTGCCACTGTACTGGCCGATGTCATCACCTGTGCCTGTGCTGCACGCCGGCCCTCTGATGCCTCAGCTGGGCACTGACCTGCTTAAAGGGTTTAGGGTTTAGGGTTTAGGGTTTAGGGTTTAGGGTTTAGGGTTTAGGGTTTAGGGTTTAGGGTTTAGGGTTTCTGCGTGGAGGGCTTAGGGTTCCATCACGATGTAAGGTAGGGTTTTGGTTGCCAGCACTGTATGTGGCACGCGCACGCGCTCTCCGCGTGCGTGTGCACCGGGGTGGTCTTGCTTTTTGGACGAATATCGCTCTCGCCTCGCCGTCCTCGAAACTGTCATCTCTTTTCGGATGCTGGGCTTGCGAGATGCAAAGCGGTCGTCGCTTTTGGACTCCTGGGCTCTTGGTGTCTGTTGGTCTCTTGGATCATGAGAGAGTGCTGCTTCGCGTCCCCATGCTCTCGCACTATTTGGGGTCCAGGCCGGCATAGTTCTGTTCCCTGTTCCTATTGCAATTCGTAGGGTTCCCCCAAAAGGGCTCCATACACCACCCATCAAACACAATAGCTGCCCACATGCTTTCAACAGCGTGCCCCAGCTCGAGGGATCGGAATTGGAACGGAATCGACTGCACCCATCATCCCCTGATGCTCGGAGGGTTGAGGGTTTAGGGTTTAGGGTTTAGGGTCTAGGGTTTAGGGTTTAGGGTTTGGGCTTTGGGGTTTAGGGTTTAGGGTTTAGGGTTTAGGGTTCTTGCAGTGGGTTGCTGGTCAAGGAACTTAAGCTGAAGGATATGGTAGACCATGTAAGGTGCCCTTGCTGTGGTATCTGGATTTGAAGTTCCTTAACAACCACGCAGTGCAACCGCACTTGCACGGGAATTAAGCCTCCTAAGTCCCTGAGTCCCCACCGATACAATAGGGAGTGACGTGCTGATGAACCTCCGAGAACTGGGGGAAGAGCGCTTGCGGACTTGAAAGAGACTTTGCCGCTGGATCTTGCCCACAGTGCACCGACGCCATGCAGGAAAACCTTCCATTCTGAGCGAATTTCCTGATATGTAGTCAACGTATGCGAAGCTCTCTGAGTGCCCATTCGCACCAGCTACGGAGCTGCCGCAGAAAACTCCCCTCCAAGAATCAAGGAGTTTCAGGTTTCAGAGTTTAGGGACCCTAAACCCTGAACCCTAAACCCTGAACCCTAAAACCTGAACCCTAAACCCTAAACCTGAAACCCGAAACGTCTGCCCTCAACTTGCTTTTGTCGGAGAAAGAGGCCCTGCAGGTTGAAACATCCCGCTTGGGCTTTAGGGAGCTCAGTGTTCGTTTGAGGCTTTGCGGGTTTAGGTGTAAGATTTAGGGTTTAGGATTCAGCGTTGAGGGTTTAGGGTTTAGGGAGGCTTGAGGGAGGCTTTAGGGGTTTAGGGTTCAGGGTTTCAGGGCATTTGCCAGTTCAAGGCATGAGTCCTTCGGGCGTAACCACACCCGAAGGCACTCCTAGCAGTGCCAATTGCCTCACGACGGCTCATCACTCCTCCCGCACGCGGCCTCAAGCATGGGCCCCCTGTCACCTTCAATGACCCCAAAACTACTTGTAGGTTCATGGTACTTATTAACCAATCATAACTGTACCTATAACCCACTTACAAGCCTCTTAACTGCCCTAAGATGGTTATAAGTACACTATTATAATTGGTTAGCAAGTACCATGAACCTCCAAGTATACCATATCCGCCGAGGCCTCGAGCCGTAGGTGTCTGGGTAGCACAAAACTGGCACCCACCTCTAATCCTGTATTTTGCGCTCTTTTGCCTAAAATGGGCACCCCACCCCCCCCCATGTCCGGGAGCGGACGGTGCATCAGGACCAGGGGGCATTTCATCCCCCCCATTGGGCCAAACACCAAAACTACCCCGCACCCCCCAACCCCCTAAACCCACCTCTGGGACCCCGACACTTGTGTCAAAAAAGCTAGGAGCGGATCAGAGTGGGACAGGGTTTTAGGGTTTAGGGCGGGACAGGGTCAGATCAAGGAACTGGTCCCACAGCTCCCACGAACCAGGATTCACATGCCATCCCTACACCTTATGTAGCCCCTGTTCTCCGAAGAAGCAATTTATGT